TCAAATTCAACCTGAAGATAATCAGCATCATAACTGCTGTCAGGCCGGTTACTGACAAAGGGTTTTAGGAAGGTTAAGAAATAGCTCAGCAATGGATATTGGGCCTCAGAGTGGGAGCCTTACACAACCCTCAACTCTTATTCAGAGGAGGTTGTGTCTCAGCATCCCATACTCATCACAGGTCCCCAGCATTCCCATTAGCATCACCAAAGATCACAACACAGAAACTCTTATTCAGAGGAGGTTGTGTCTCAGCATCCCATACTCATCACAGGTCCCCATCATTCCCATCAGCATCACCAAAGATCACAACACAGACAACAGGATAGGAAAGGACTGCTGACTGCAGTTGGACTAAGACTGAGTGAAGCCAGATCAAAGGCTGATAGAATACTGACTGACTGTGCATAATGCACAGCCCTTTTATACAGGCCAGAATAACCCTGGGATTGAGCCAAGGGCAACCTAGTTGACCCTGGCTAAATCCCGTTTCCAGGCAGGTTCTCCACTCTGCCAAAGTTGGCAAGTTGCCCCTTCTGGGCCAAAAAGTTGCTTTGGAGCACAGGGTAGCATAGCGCATCCGGCCATGTGTGTTTTCCTTAGGGGCGCAGCGTGTCCCACCACATAAGCTGTGGCGTGGGCAGGACTCCATCCTGCTGATGCCACACAGCACCTTGGCCTGGCGCTGGTTTTTGACCCAACAGCACATATGAATAAGCAATAACTACATAATTTGAAACCTCTCCTGAATGAGAGTTTTTCTCTATATCTAAAAAAAGCCTGTTTTTTTCTATGAAAACTATAGGAATAATCAATTAATTTTTTCACTTGTGGGCCTTGACATTTTCATGCCCTGCATGGAATTCAGGAAGTTGGACTTCTTTTTATCGGCACTTTAAACCGAGGAAGTCTGCCCAGTAACTAGGCAATGAATCAAGATATGAATCCTGCTAAATTTTTGAACAAACAATAGTAGGCTTCAAAATGCTAATATCTGTTGAAATAATGGAGCTACAGCTTCTGATAATGCCTCAAATTGGATTTTCTTTTAAAGTTTTTCTGAATGACTTTACGAACCAGACCAAGATATTTCTTTTCATTGTGAGAGGTTTTCCATATATTTTGTACATTATAACATTACGTGCTTCATTTCTGTGCTCATTTTCTGTATTTTTTTCTCCTTATTCTCATGCTGAAAATGCAGATTTTGGACAGCTTTTCTCTGCGCAAGTTGTTTTCCTCGTTTTAAAGTTCATAAATATATTTTTAGAAAATTACGCAAGAATTTTTTCAATCCTTACCAGCATAAAGAAAAATGACTTGAAAATTCTTCTCTGAAGTTTATAAGAGAATTAACTAAGCATGCAGATGTTCAAAAATATTGGCACACTTGCAGAATTAATTACCGTATGTCTGCATTGTGTGGCCCCACTGTATTTGAGAAAAGATTTGTAGAAGCACAACCCCCTACAGTATTTGAAAATTTCCCCGCCTCTTTTTCCATAAACCATGCTATAGGAATAGAATAGAATAAAAACTCCTCCTCAGCTTCAATCACAGGTGTATCTTTTTCTAGGTGGACGAATGTGATTGTTGGACTGGGACCCACGAAAATAAATATATTGATCATCGACATCAGACATTCAGAGCCCTGGGTTGTTGCTGTTTACAAACTGCTCATAATCAGAGAAAAGCCGTCTCTCAAATTGAATGCTGAAAAAGTTGACACTTTGGACACATGCGGGTTAGTCCAGGTAAAAGGAGGAGAAATAATTTACGCAGTGGGATTTTTTTTAATGAAATTTTTGCATTTTAAGGACTGCGAGGCAAAGTTTGACCCAAAGAGAGCTTGTGGAATTTTCAGAAGCTCCAAATTGACCTGGAAGGATACTCGCAAAGAAATCATTAACTTGCCTTCCTGCAAAAGTGGATACGAAGAAGGTGACGAAAAAGAGATTCATAAATGCTTGAAATTCTTTGGGAAAATAATTTTACACCTTTCTTTTTGCACAGGGAGATGGTTGATTCCATGCTCAGATTGCAGCGATGCCAGCAATTGCTCATGGAATCACGCAAAATGGCAACCATACTCGTGCAAATACGACATCCTGCAAAAATCACGAATAAAAAAGTGCTTTTCTGGAAAAAAGGCGAGTAAAAAAAAAAAAAGTTTCTGGGTTTTCAAGTCCCAGAATGACCATTTTTTCCTCAGGTGATTTTTCTTGGAGATTCGACAATCCGAGGCATGATGTACCACATGATTTCAAGGATCAATGGAACTTTACAAACCGATGAGAAAACACACAGCTTTAGGTTGAAATAAATTTTTTTTGTTTTCGGCATCATACTTCAAAAGGAAATTTTATTTTTAGGATGTACAAAGGAATCAATGATGGGCGAACTCGAGTTGGGTTTTCCTACTACCCAAAATTCTGGGTTCCAACCAACAAGAGACCAGTTTTCGACGAGGCCTTGTATCAAGTTCTGATGGAGTACGTTTTTTTGGAACTTTAAACTACTTTACTTTCTTGCACATGAACCAGAGAATATTATGCGTCTGGAGCAGCAGGTTATGCAAATTTTAAGCGAAGTCCATAGGCAGTCTCGATTTTTAAAATTGAAATGAGAGAACCGCTCAAGATATGTTCTCCTTTTCGGCAGCGGAGGATATGCTTAATTTATCCAAAAAATTATGTACAAACGTGAATCATGGTTGCAAACGCGAAATGCAATTGAAAGAATATTTCTAGCAAGTATCTAAACAATGCTCTCCACTACTCTTCAGCATAGAAAGCGTAGAATTCGTGGCATATATACAAGGGTACAGTATTTTAAAAACATAATTGCTGCAGGAAAGTTGGTTGAAATTCGCGTCTCATTTACAAATTTCAATGATGGGTTGGATTCTTTTCAGATGTACAGTGAGACCCCAAGATGCAGACATAATTGGTACATCAAGAGTGTCCCTAAGTCATGTCCCTAATTCAAGTCTCATTTTTCCTTAGACTTACAGTATAAAATTTTTAATTGGTGTTTTTTGACAAAATACTTACCATAATTCCATGAAAATAAAATTGTCTTCCAATTTAAACTGATTCACTGAATATATTTCAACAGAATATGGACATTTGGGGATTGAATACGGATACCTCTGTACAGTACATAGAAATGTTGGCATTCTCTGTAAAAAAAAACATTAAAGTGAAAAAGAGAGAAGGAATAAGTCCTTTTATGCTGGAGGTAATATTTTCAAATTAGCTAAATGGATCATAGATTGGTGGGAGAAATGCCCAAGGATGTTTCTTTTATAAATTTTATGTTCGGAAATATCTGCTTCTTGTAATTTGGCCTGAAACTTATTTGCAATTTTATCACAAAATGTCCCTATATGTCAAGTCAGTGTCCTCATCTTGGGCCTTTTTTATTAATCTTTTATGGAAAAATAAGTGTCTCTATGTTGAATTGTTCTCGTGTTGAGGTGTCCGCATGTGGGGGTCTCAGTGTACTAATTCATCATATGCCATGTATAATTTATGCTAAATCTATCAAATAAGATCTCCATGCAAATGAAATCGCAGACTTGAATTATTAAATTATTTTAGTATTTTCAGAAAAGTCGTAAACCACGCTTTCCAGAATTTGGCAAAGCAAAATCAGAATTCCAATCCTAAAGAAAAGTATACACGTCTAATTTTTCGAAACTCCATCAGGTCAGGACCTCTTCAAAACAACTCAGAAACTGTTCTTGTGATCGGTGGTTTACAGTGGCTGGCGAGTCAGCATTTCTCTATACTACATCGAGTTCTCAGAAGGTGAAAAATAATCAGTTCTCCGGAATGCAATTTATTTCAAAAATTTCTACAAGTCAGTGTCAATTTTTAGCGAAGGTTTGCAGGGCATCAAGGTGATAATCAAAAGCCTAGGAGCAGGACTGCAACTTCCATTGAAACCAGATAAAAATGCTGCAGCCCTTGTGAGTTTCCCCCCGAGTTATCAAATCCTTTCACCATTTTTCTCTTTCAGAAATTTTCTCGAAGGGGTCAAAGCCATTTTTGAAATTAATATTACATAAACGGGCAAAGATTCTTCGGAATTCCACCGAGGTTTCTCGTGTCGTCATTGATGGGAAGCGTTTTCAGAATTTCAAAGTTGAATTTTATAGCACCGAAACAATCCGAAATGATTCGAAAAAAGCTATTTCCTCTACGAATTCGTGAGTCGGTCATGATTTTTGGAAAATTGAAACAACGTTCTTCGACTTGAACAAATTTACAGTTGGATTTTATTTGCAGTCTTCAAATTCGTCATCGTACATAAATAACCTTACCGTCATAATTTTGTCTATATATAGCTATGTTACCTATCAAAAGTTTACATTATTCAGTCAGGGATTGGTCTTGAAATTTAGGCTTGTATTAAAATTTAATTGCTTGGACCTGTGTTTTAAATTGCGCAATTGAGAAATTTTGGAAGCTTGAGCTCGAAATAAAATAGGAATTCGAATTCAAATGAACTCTTTTGAGTTACTCTTCCTTTCTTTTTCGTCATGTAAAGGTCTAAGTAAATGATTTCCTTCATCGCACTTGAATATTTACTATTGAACAATTACTTGAATTAAATACAGTCATAGTATCTTCGTCACTTCACTGATACGTTAAGGTTGAAGGATTTAATTACAGTTTATGAAAAAACAAAATGAGGATACAGAGCATTTCCAGATGAAAATGCTCAGAAAATTGAAGCGCATTTGAACATGAATGATGTTCAGACTGGATTAATTCTGAAGCATGAAGAAAAATGACAAATTCAAACTCACGATTTATATTCTTGTATGATGTTGAAATGGTTTTCGTAGTAAAAAAAAAACCAGTCGACACAAAATGAACCGCATTTACTAGAATACGAAGATATAAATCTTCCCATATTCAATAAACATTTGATCAAGAATTGAGTTTCCTTCAAAAATTAATCGGGTTACTATTTTAATATTCAAATTTTCAATGCGACGTGACCTAAAAACTGGGAAAAAGTACAATAATAACCCTTGTGTTCAGGGTCGAGAAGAGAAGCTGATGCTGCATTCGAAAAAGCTCATTTCCTTGGCCTCGGGCTACGGAATGGAGGCTGTGGACACTTTCAACATGACCATGAGCAGGTTTCGTGACTTCACCGAAGGAAGATGCGCCTGTCACTTTTACAGGGTATCCGATTCTCATTTTATTCTTCTAATGAAATTAAACAGTTCCTTTTGAATAATGGAGTGACTCTTTCCCTCATCCAGATCATTCCAAAGACAATTACTGGCATCAAACAACAGAAACTTCGCCAGGAATTCTCCTTGGATGGTCCTGTGAATGCAGCTTACTCGGAAATCCTCTTGAACAGGATTTGCGACGACGGAAGCTTCTGAACGACGACTTATCATCGTTTCACAATTTCCTGCGAGACTTCCGGCGAGAAAAGAGAGCAGAAAAATGATGCGGAAGTTGCACAAGAACCTGGTCCTTTCCAAGAAAGAGCTAAAAATGTGATGTTGGAATTTATTTTCCCAACTCCATCAGCATTCAACCTGTAGACATATTTCTGTTTGAAAAGCACTGTACAGTAACTCAAAATCTACGCGGGTGGAATAAAATGTGAACACGTGACTTGTTAGTGAGAAAAAGACGAAAAAAAAGGAAAGTTGTCATGACACGGCAAAGTCAGTTTTTCCTTGAACAAAATGCTCACTATTCAATTCTTTCTAGAAACACAAATATTATTTAGATGTTTTTTGCACCCATCATGTGTCCAAAGGTATGGGCCCAAATATGCATGTACAGTATATAAGTTCATAGTCAATCAAGGACCATCACATATTCAATCTCTACTCCCAAAATCTTGGATTAATTGAGCAATTTCTGGAAGTTCGGTTTATAATAACTGCTGGAACCAAAGCATTCATTATATAGTTTGTTATTTTGAATAGTTGTTTTTATAAAAAAAATACAAACATTTGATTACTTCCAAACAAATCTACTTTGGTATCTTTTCCAACCTGTTTTGAAGTAAGAAGAGTTTACTCAAAGCTTTGACCACTTTCTACATTTTTCAGAAGTTCAGGAGAACTCTTTGAGGAGTTGTTTTACACTCAAATTATTCAAATAATGCTTCCAATACAGTGCACAACACAGCACTAGCATTGAGGCAAAGTCCATGCGGTCAGTTCTTAACATACTTGCAGGGAGCTCATACTCATAGGTTTGATCATAATGAGATCATGATGAGTGACTTGGCATGTACCAATACAAAGGAGGGCATTTCTACACTCAACACACCCTGTTGCTAGCTTTAATAACCTGTTTAGGAATGGCTGAGAGCAACTGCACATCAAGTGCTTTTCAACAAGCTACTTTATGGTATAGTCATACCATATGATTACAAGTTCATAATGACTTCAACCATTGACCAGCTTATTCACATATTATGTGAATCAATGTTGAAGATGAGTAATAACTCCAGGATTAATTTTATTGTTTATATAAGATATATGAGTGCATTTCATTTTAAACAAGGGCTGAAAAAATCTCAATTTGTTTTCTTTCAAAGGTTCTGCTGTGAATGTGAATGAAATCTTTTTGAGCACATGAGTCCAGAAAAAGGCGAAACCAATTTCGGTGGATAATAAGTCACCAGTTTATTGCCCATTTCAAAAAATCAGGAGTTCAAATCCACATTTTTCATGACTGGACTATCCATTTTCTGTTTTTCCCCAGATAAACTTCCTTTACGCAACAAATTCAAGGCAAAATAAAAACAAATCTTGTTTACTCGAAAGCGTGGTAATTTTTTCTGTGGCAGAAAGTGGATCCTCTGAGAAAATGAAAAAAAAAAAAATCGGTCGATTTCTTGAACCTTCGGATAAAATCATCCCAAGAACATTTGTAAATCATAGAAGATTTTTGTAACACTTCAAGTGATTCGATTATGGACCCACAGTTTTTGAATAATTTTTTTTTCTTACGAGAACTCGAAATAAGAATCACAAGAAGCATACATCGACAAAACCGATAGTAAGGAAGCCTATATGCATATTCAACTCAAATCGAGTTCCGAAATTGCCTTAGCCACTGCCGAAAGAAGCTGATCTTTAAACGACCACAGCGATAAATCTCGGATTGTAGTTTTGTTTTTCGGGTCGTGCTGATGATATTTCATCTGAAGTTGAGAAACTGCCCTATAATGATGACAAGAAGTCATCAGCAGGTGATTTTGGGAAGTTTGTGGGATAATAGGCGTAGCGGAATGACAGTTGAGAATAGGCATGACCCTTGGTTGCCTTCTTGACCATTGGTCGCCAAGTCAGTCCGTTTTCCGGGACTATGACCTCGTCTAGATCAATCATGGCCAGCAAGTCATGTCTGTAGAAGCTCTTGAAAAGACAGTCATTGGCTGGGATCCTGTCCAACATCCAACGAATGGTAGTTCTTTCATACACAAATTCATAATGCGAAATTGGCGTATTCGGGTGATCCCCTGGTATTGTCAATTTGGATACCTCCAGAAAACCTTGTGCTTGATAATACCTGAGTTGAAAGAAGAATAAAGCAATTATTATGTCTGCATTTTCACTTATGAATTGTTGAATTGCGAAGTTTTGAAAGCTGAGCTTCATTGGGTATAAAGTGAATATTCATTCATTCAAGAAGATCTGAACCAGGGCTGTTGAATTGCAATCCAATTTTCAATTGCACAATCACAATTGTTTTTTGTTTCAAAACTGTTTGCACAATCAAAATTGCAATTGCGGCTGCACATTACAATTATTTTGCAATTGCTGCTGCACATTACAATTATTTCACAATTGCAATTGCTATGATATTCTAATTTTTTTACTATCACAATTACAAGTGTTACACTCCCTCACAAATTCATCTTGAAAATTTTTAATTCAATTTCACTCATAGTTTTTCAGTGCTATTGCAGCCCTTAACATGACCATCTCATAGAGTTTCCCTAGTTTAAACCTTTGAAAATTATGAAAAATGAATCCTAGGGTAGAGGAGACAAAATTATTCTCAAATTCCAATATGCCACCAATTTGTTCTTTACTTGTGAATACCTTGAAGAAACACACATTATAAAAAGTGAAATGTCTTTCAATATTCACCAAGATTATCCTGGAACAGGCACAAAAAATGTATTCAAGTACAGCCATTGACCCTTAACCATTGGACAGCAGAGGGTTCTTTCCCATAGCCGGACGGAGTTGGATTATTTTTGTATCCGTCCAAATTTTCATGATGTTGTTGTTGTTAACCTAGATACTCTATACTTGTTACAGGTTCTCTATATGCGGAAATTACCCATTTTATTTCCTTCCAGGAACAAGTGGTGATTTTCTCCCTCTGCAGCTGTTCCTTGTTTTTCTCCTATGCAAAACAACCTCCGCATTGATGCGTGACGCTTTTCCCTGTGGAAGGCCAAGCGCCTATTTCCCCCTCTTTTTGTTGCTGACAGTGACGGATGCCACTGTGACAGATTTTCTTTGACGCCGCGGGGATCCAAGAGGAAAATCCTCTTGGATATGTGTATATTTTTGATTGAATGTATTTCGCCTGATGCGCGCGTTTTACCTGTGTTGTATTGTAATGTATGCATGAGGTCTTAAAGAAAAGCCTCATGAATTTCTTTTACTTGAAGGAATCTTGCTGATCCTCGATTCCTGTCAGGTTTATATAGACCTCTGACTTTCCTGAGCTAGCCTCAGAAATTATCCAAACCTCGACGCGGTTATTTCTCAGGAAGCCTTGTAGCAATTTTAACAAGACTTC